AGATCTAGTGTTTGGCTTTCAGATCAGGTGTTGTCTGGTGTACTGAAGGACTGATTTATTGGAATAGTGTACAAATTAGGCAAACGTCAAGGAACGTAACAACTTCTGTAAGATTTGGGAATTCGTCTCCTACCTGTCTTTTTTTTTGTAAGGAGAGTTCTACCCAAGAGCAAAGCCAGTAATGATAATCCTGACTCCTGTGCACTTGATCTTCAAGCTGTCCCTGTAGCAAAGGTCACATTTGCTTCATGCTTCCTTCTGAGGCTTGTGTTCCAAGATGTTTGGTGCTGGAACACATGACCAGGCTATGTAGTTTTACCGGGGGGGTCATAGCTCTCTAGAGAGCTGCAGTTGACAGATAATGTGGACTTGTTTTACTTTATTTTTCAATCAGATTGTCTCCTAAAGTGTGTTACAAGAATTTAAATATATATATAAATATAAAATGTGCTTAGGAAAACAGCTCTTATCGAGATCTGGCTACAGGCCTAGGCATTGCCACGTCAGGAATGGCATGCGACTTGCAAACTGAGGGCCAAGAGGACCTTGCCCTGGTCCCTGCTATCAAGTGACTTGGTGATGCAATAAGGGTGGGCTGCCAGCTGCACAGTGGCATGCTGGAAAATGTCACTGGTATCCCAACTTCAGTGCTTCAGCTTTGCTACCTTTTGCCTTAGCGGCATTCTTTTGGCTTCCTTGACTCCCACCATGTTGTTCTGTGGATCTCACTGCTACTTTTCCAACTTATTATAAGTCCTGCTACAGGTTTTGTCACATTTAAAAGCCACCTGCCATGTGTGATTGACTATTGATCATCTTCCAGCCCACCTTTCCACTCCAAGAATCATTAAGGTGGCTTACAGCAAGAATTAAAACTGATCCCATTAAATGCCTGTACTTCTCTTTCTGCTTTGAAAGCCTTTGCTCTAGGTAACTTAAAATTCCAGCACTTAGATATTTTTAACAGAAGGTAATCAAAATCCTTTTGATTATATCACATATCAATTATATTAATAATAATCAATAATGGATATGAAATATGAAATCATTTCCTGAAATTTGCAAAGTAGCAGAATATAATATGTATCTGATTTCACTGTAAAACGTATAGAGACATTCTTGTCAAAAGCAAGGTGAACATAGAAAAGACTCTCCCCCTGCCCTTGACCCAGACAGGAAGCGTGCATGAACACCAGTCAGACAAACTACATTTTGCCTTGGGTTTCTTTGTGTGTGTGTGTGTGTGTGTGTGTGTGTGTGTGTTGAGCCTCCCCTTGGGGAAAGAATGTGTGTAGCATCTGCTGCATCTTTCTGCTGTTTTTTGAAGTATCCTTTTCTGATTCCTGCAGTGGAGTGTAGTGTGTAGTTCTGCTTCAGTGAGGCCGATGAAAGCTAAGCTGTGGCCCCTTGTTTGAGTCTCCACATTATCTCCCCCCCCCCAATGCTCTGGTCTCCCTACTTACAGGCAGTGTTCCTTCTAAGCTGAGTTAGTGTGAGCTAGCTCAAAGTTTTTTAGCTTCCAGCTCACACATTTTTGTCTTCGTTCAGGAAGGATGGCTCCAGAGTAAACTAATTTATGCAGTAGTCAGATCGCTCGCACACAACTTTAATGGCAGTAGCTTACAAAGTAAAACTTTTGCTCACAAGACTCCACAGCTTAGAGGGAGCATTGCTTGCAGGCCAGCCTTTTCTACGCAATCGTATGGACTACAAACATGTTCTTAAAAGCCTTGATTTTCATAAGTTGGTTAGCAAAACAGGTGTGCTGTCCCACTCTATAGAATAAGTAAGCTGCCTGTTTACTTCTGTTTCAGGAAACTTCTTGACTCGGGTATTTGTCCCTTTCTCACAGCCATGGTTGTTCTGTGTTCTCCATCATGGCTGAAGTAACTTTGGCAGTACTTGTCAAGAGGTGTGTTAATGGGATAGGAAGAAGCAGTAAACGAGCAAGCAGTATAAGGTAGAAAATTGAGTATGAGTCACTCTTGATGGAGAAAAGTACCATTCTTCTTTTCCCTGCAGATTGCATTGTAATAAAGCTTAACCCTGTAGGAAAGTCCTATACATCATACCTCTGGAAATCTCAGCTTTTTAAATATCATTGGAGTACCAGTAGACAGCTTATATTTTCATGTGTAGGTGTTCTTTTCCTGTCAACTCACTTGGTACTGCATATTAGTTAAGTGATAAGATGCCTGGGTATAGACAAAAATGGTAAGCATTTGTAAAAAGCTATGAAATACAGTAAATACACACAGGAGAACTGCAGTAGGTAGACTGACACTTCTGTGCAATACTCAGATATATGCAAGATGAGTACACTGATGTTCAGAACAGCAGTAATTGGCAGTATCATAATCTTCCTAGGCAAACATTGCAAGTTCCAATGTTGGTCTGTTAGAGAAAAATCCAGAAAGAGCAGCGTGATACCCTGTGTATGTTTTACTTGAGACTATCCCACATGATGCATGTTATTGAGCAAATGCTTAAGTTCCTCAGAATTCTTCAGGCTGGGTATTCTGTACAGAAAAAGAAGAGAGATGTTTCAGGCAAATGTGTTTGCCTGCCTATTGACGCTATCTGGGGTTTAACGTGGACTCTGGTCCATGAAAAATTTTGCCATAGGAAGCCTTGGTGTTAAAGGTGCCCCACAATGCTTTTGGTGTCTGCTGTCACACACTGGTGTAGCTACTCCTCTGGACTTTGTTCAGCCAAGTATTTTATTTTGCAATTTCACATTTCTTTTGTGCCCCCGTGCTTCTGGGCAAACTGTTCTTGATTGTCAGTCTAATTTTGTGTTGCAATTGAGGGCAGTGCATATTTGTGTTTTCTCTGCTCAGGATTATCTCAAATTTGAGGCTTTGGAAACCTGCTTATGTCATCTTGTTATGCAATCGTTGAGATGCTAGTGCTGAATAGGAAAATCTGTCTGAATGTTGGTCTACTTGCCACTGAACAGTACAGTTAGGACTTTGTGTGTAGCAGTAGATGAGATGGCTTCAAACTGTTCCTTCTTGGAGAGCTTCCTCTGTGTGTGCATTTAGCTGGAAACTACACTTTTATTGATGACAGAATCAAGTTGCTTTTAAAAAAACCTTAAGTGCCCCAGGGACCTTCCTTTTCTCACCACATGTTCCCCCACTCACACTTCCCTGCCCACCCATCTGTCCCCCAACTGCCCGTGTCCTTTCCTCACCTGGTTGTGGGCCTTACTATCACCCACACTCACAGCCACCTTCACAGCCTGCGTGCCCTTTCCTTCACAAGAGTGGGTAGTGCATGCAGCTAGGAGCCCCTCCACCATGGCTGCCAGGAGTTCTGCTATTGTGCATCATCTTTACAGCCTTTTACTGAGCTGCTGGGCAGCACATGCAGGCAGAAATATAGATGGTGCTGCAGTCGTGTGTGAGTGGGTAGGGGAATGGTGCATTGGTGTGGGGGGGGGGCGACAGCCCTGGGCCATGGCAACTGTCCCACCTCAGGGCATGCTTATGCTATTTTGGGGCAGATGCTCTGTCTGCATTTCTTCCCATCCCCTTTTTAATTCCACAAGTGAGCTGCCTCTGAAGTACTAGGCTGACAGAACTCCTATAGAGGCATTGGCAGCCGGTGCTGCTATTTTCTGTGGATTGGTTTTAAGTTAGAATTCTTGGGCATGCACTGTATAACTGCTGTAATGTTAGCTTGTGCAGAGAAGACTTGTCTTCTTTCCCAGAACTTCACTTGGTACCACAGCTGTACCTGGTATTTTTGGCCACTGTGTGACAGAGTGTTGGACTGGATGGGCCATTGGCCTGATCCACCATTGGCTTCTCTTATGTCCTTATTTTAACTTATTTCAAATGTTCAGGAAATTCCATAACATACGTTATTGGGCTTTGTAGTTTCCCATGTATAACTGTTGTTGGAAAACTATTAATCCTCTTGAAAGAAAGTCATTCCAAATACTTTGGAGCAACCCGATTAATGTTTTTAATGGGCCTGCAGTACAGGTAGCTGAATTGTGGAGAACTTCATTTGTCTTTGGCATAAATTAATGTGGAAGTGCTTTGGGGGCATGCTGGATGTTTTCACAAGCAGGATGCTCCTGAGGGGCAAAAAGTCTCTGGGGCAGTTTGCTTGAAAGAGAACTAACTCCACAGATCCCCCAAAATGCTGTTTGTTCCTGTTAAAACTAAAATAAGCTTGCAGTTCTTGTCTGCCAGAATTTATAAGTTATATTTTACTAAAATTCTTTCACCAACCATTGCTAAGATTCCATATGCATCTTACCCAGGGATATTAGTATTCTTTGCCAAGAAAACAACCTATATTATAGGCAGACAAAAATTGTTTTTAGTTGAAATTGGCTACGTTTTTACAGAACTACAGGTTTAAGGAATTTGTATCTTATATGATGCAGAATGTGATTGCAGTTAATTAAGAGGGGCTTCTAATCTCTGGATGTTGCACATGTATGAATTCTTGGTTTTGGATTTCTTGTCCTTTCTGCGTAACTTTACATGGCTTCTCCTCCAGCCTCCACAGCATCTATCAAATTCCAGACCTTTTTTGAAGAGATTTCTGATGCATAACAAGATATGCAAGAAGTAATTGTATGCAAAATGATTTTTATAAGCTGTTGATGAACACAGAAACAGGGTATAGTTTTATTAGAACTTCAGTAGACACTAGGTGTGGGTCCAGTCATGCTTAGGTTTTCTTTGTAATCGTGAGAGCAAGTTGCTCCACTTAAAAAAAATAATCAGTATTTCACACAATACTCTGTGGTTCTACAGTGAAAGTAGTATTTTACAGTATAGCTGTGGTCATATTTCCTAGGTGCATTGGTTTTATCAAACTAATCAGTTACTGGGGTGAATTCCTCAAGTAGTGTTGCTGAACGCTCACTTTTAATGCCAGGCAGGGAAGTGCTTATTTCTTGGCTGTAGCCACTTTTTTTTTAAGGATGCCGATGCGAAATCTAGGGCATTTATCTCTCTCTTTTACTACTTTTGCAGGACCCAGGCTGAAATGGCTCACACTTGCCGAGGAACCATCAACCTGTCAACAGCCCACATTGATACAGAGGACTCCTGTAACATTGTGCTTTCAAGTGGGGGAAGGACATACCATCTAAAGGCTAGTTCAGAAGTGGAACGGCAGCGGTGGGTCACAGCTCTGGAGCTGGCTAAGGCCAAAGCCATTCGTATGAGGGACAACCAGTCAGGTAGAGTTGGCGCTTGGTGCATACACATGGGAAAGGTCCATCAAAACTCTTATGCCTTCTTGCAGACCTTCCCAAGTAATGGAAGAATTTGCTGGAAGACTGAGATTCAAAAAAGGGCTGTTCATCAGTATTCTTGGAAGAGGGCTGCAGTGGAAGTGCTGGGTTAATTGAAATGGCTGATCTTGAGTTCTGTAGTTCTGGAAGAAATTCCTGAGAATTAAGGATTCTAAGTTTACTGTAGGCAATGAAGTGGCATGGGTTTGGTTGTACAAGGCAGCCAAGTTCTTCAGCAGAATGGAAAGGACTTGGTTGCTTGTTCTCAAAGCCTGACTAGGTTAGATGAATCCAACATAACAAAACAGTTCTTCATGTAGCTGTGAGTCTGACCCAGTTGAGATCAGAAGCAGCACTTCATTGCTCAGAAGCAGGAACAATGTCCTGCCCTTGTACCTTGCAAAGCATACAATATAAAAGTTCTGAATTAATTCAGTCTCAAGTCTTATGCCCTCTTGATAAAAACACTTTATTTTAGAGTGGTGAAGCATGACAGGGATGCTAGTGTTACCTGTGATCAAGGTGAAATGAGGAGGGCTTTGTAGACGTGGAGACTGAGTTGGAGTTTTTTTTTTTAATTAATTTTATATAAACATACAAAAATAAAAAAGATAGTTCACAATTGCATTTTTAAAGGAAGAACATGCCAGTGTATTGATTGAATTGAACAACACAAGTATTAGAAAAATAAACTTTTGAGTCTGTTTCCTCTTCCACATGTAAGTTGTCAAGTCGTTCATCAGTATCACAGACCAAACTCTTAGCAAATATTCTTTCGTACCCAGACTCATTGGTTGATTCCGTATGCATAGTTTTGATATTCTGGCTACAAAGCTTCAGTTTTTGTTTTACTAAATATAAATGTTCACTTTTATTTGCTTGTGTTTACTATCAAATAAATTATAGGAGAGAACACAATTGTGTGTATCATAAGCTTTTGGATGTTATCAGTTACTAAAGATCAGAATCTTTTCATTATCACAGAATTCCTCTACATACACATCAGAGTTCCGTTATATCTCCCACATTTTGAACACATTAAATTTTTCATATTTTTTGCCAATCTGCTGGGAATATAGTACCAGTGATAAAAAAGCTTCAATTTTTTTTTATTTAATGCTCTAACCCAGAGGTGGGCAAACTGCAGCTCGGGAGCTACATGCGGCTCTTTCACACATATTGTGTGGCTCCCAGCAAGGCGGCTGGGGAAGTGAAGGGGAGGCATGCCTTCCTGATTGGTCTTCCCTTCCCCAGCCAGTGTTCCCCTCCCTGGGTAGCTTGAGAAGAGGGGGAGCAGAGAAGGAAAGAAAGCGACTTTAAATATGTTCTCAAAGCCCACCTCCCCCGCCAGCTGGCTCGGAGAAGGCATTTGTCTCTTTAAATCCCTTCTCCAAGCCAAGATGGCTGGCAGCTGAGCCAGCCGGCAGGGTGGGGGTGGGGGAGGTCTTGAAAGATACATTTAAAGTTCCTTTCTTTCCACCTCTCCCTCCCTCCCCCCATCTATTTGCTTTCTTTGTTTCTCTCTCTTTTCTTTCTTTCCACCTCTTTCATTCTTTCTACCTCTCTCTCTATCTTAAACAAATAAATATAATTGGACAAATAAATATCATTATCAGTATTTGTTTTTACACCTTTTGTTTTTATTTTGGGCAGTCTCTTTTGCATATTTTCCAATAAAAATGTGTGTGTGATATTTGTTCATGTCTTGTGGCTCTCAAACTTCTGACATTTATTCTATGTGGCTCTTACGTTAAGCAAGTTTGGCCACCCCTGCTCTAAATACATTTTATGATATGGCGAATTACCTTTTTGTTTTGTTTCTGAAAAAATGGCTCCATTATTTGAAAATCAATAAGCCTGAATAATTCAGTTGCTAGTAACACTTCCAAAAGACTCAGATGTAATGGCTCTTAGGGTTATAAAGGTAAGTAGTTGCCTATTTATTCTTTAAATAGCACCTATCCATTCAGTAAACAGTTCACATATGGTAAAGTTTTAAATTTTCTCTTCCAGCACCCTTTTCAAATTTGCTCTCCTTAGACCGTTATCAATTTCCTCGGTGCAGTCCACTGCTCTTAATTTCTTCTTCCTAATTTCTAGGATAAAGTTTCTAAACTGAAAGTGCAAATAAATGAAATATTTTAATTAGCAAAGTTTCAGAGTGTCTGTGAAAATTGGCAGTCTCTTCTGAAAGACTAGCCTTCAGATTTCTGTATGCAAAAGCAACAAAAGCATTGCAGTTAGTACCTTCAAGCTTCTAAAATGCTCATACCAAAACCTAAATCTTTTTAATTAACAGCTTCCCAATTCCAAAAAAGCTGTGAAATCAGCAAAATCTCCAAATGTTTATATGCAGCAGTAGTAATATCATTATATGCAATACTTTGAATTTTAAGGCATGTATGCAAAAGCAAAGTCATTATAGTCAGCAGTATTCAGAATCGAATATAACCTGCTTCCTAAAATCTAGTTAGAGAATGGCAACAAAATTTTCTAAGCTGTAGATTAATAAAGATGTGTGCCGAGTTGCTGATTCCTCATATTAAGGAGCTTTATGAAGTCAGTGTGTCCTGTACCTCCAAATATTCCAGAACAGACATATTTTCCACCTCCGTATTCGAGATCAGTCCTTGGTTAAGGGCCTTTCCTGTTTATAAGGTACCTTTTTGCATGTTACCCATAGCACTGCCCTAGCTCCCAAAGGGAAGAACTCCCATACCAAAAGTGGGTTCCCTTAATGGTGGTCTGATCGAGGTGTTAATTCTGCTCCTGCTGATCGAAAGAAATATGTCAAGGCTTCTTGGGCAGCCACCAGCCATCAGATGTTCTCCCTTGGCCACCACAAGACAGCTTTAACAGACTTCAGTTTGTTGCCTTTTGGAGACATGTGCAAAATGTCATGTATAAAGTAAACCTGTGTGATAAAAATTTCTTTGCAGATAGAATGTGAGCTGTTAACATAGGCAAGAATCTTAAGCAGGCCAAATGCAGCCCATCTGGGGCTTGGTATACCTTCTGTGCCTGCTGTCTGTCTGCAAAAACATTACTGTGCACTTGGGAAAACATAGTAAACAGCCTTGATAGGGCTTGCTAATTGGGCAGTACTATGTTTAGCATGGCCTGCTTACATTTACAGTGGGGAAAGGAGCTACTTCGGGCTTTTGTCGAGTCAAGGCAGAGAGTGCATTTTTGTAATTTCCTTTCCTCACTCTCATATGCCTTTAGGATTGGCCCATTTAATAAAGTGTAAAAACATTGATCTCTTGCTAATTTTCATAAAATGTGTCTAATTCTACAGATTCAAAATAGCTATCGTAAGAGTTGCATGTAATGACAAAACCTGCTGCTTTGTACAATACATTGTACACATTTTAATCAAAGGCAGAGTGAGTTTCTGGGAAACGCTGAAATATATTGTCTCTGGGTCAGCTGGCAAACTGGGCATTCTGAATCTATGATTTTATTTTCTTAATGTTTTTGAAATGGTTTCATGGGGTAAAGTATTTGTGATAGGTTTGCAATTTGATCAATAAAACCTCAAAACTGATTTTCAGTCTTTGTACTGAAAAAAGCACCTTTCTTGCCATTACTCCTGCTTGATTTAGGATAACAGTTTTATTTATCCAGGTAATTCCATATTTCAATATGTTGAAGGCTTTCATGGCCAGAATTCATTAGTTGTTTTAGATTTTCTGGGTTGTATGGCCATGGTCTTGGTACTGTAGTACCTGACATTTCGCCAGCAGCTGTGACTGGCATCCTTAGAGGTATAACACAGAAAGATGGAGTACTCTCTGTATCAATGTGAGAAGAAAGATGATAGGCAGGTAATTTTTATCTACTCAGGAAGGTGGGATAGGGCTGAGTCATTATCTTGTAGGAGTTTCCCAGGTTGTGACCTGCTAATGGAGGAGCTTTCCTGAGGAGGTTCTTTTGCATATGGATTCGCTGCTGAAATTCTAATCTTATCTGTAGTATATATATATATTTATCACACTTTTACCCCGTCCTCCCACCAAGGCGGCTCAGGGCGGTTGTTAAGATGTAGAGCATTTTGTGTTTTTCAGGACAGGAAACCATGCTGTATTTATTTTTAAACTTTCTTCTTTCCTGTTTAAATTGTGTTTAGGTTTATGAATTTCAATGGCTTCCCTGTGTAATCTAACATGGTAATTGGATGTGTTGTCCAGCATTTCAGTGACTTGGAATAAGATACTGTGTCCTGTTTGAGTTAGGCTATATTCTGGCAAAACATCATATACTACAATGCCAAGACTACAGCCATACAGTTGGGAAAATCTACAACAACTAATCAATTCCATATTTCCTTAGTGTAATCCCAAACAATGTCATGAAAAATATTTGGAAGGTGATTGGATATTGGGCTCGCTATCCTGAAAGTTGTTAATGCCTTAAGATACATTGGGAATGTTCATGTGGTTTCCTTTGGTTATGGAACTGCACCTATCAATCACTTCTGTATTCTCTCTGGTCAATTTTAAACTGTTTATTTTGCTTCCCCCAGTTGTGTGCTTCAGTACCGAAAGTATCAGAGCCATGTACATGAATTCCATATCTGAAAATATTTTAATATATTGCAAGCGGAAATAGTCTTTGCTCTGTTTGTACACTCCCTTTCTGCGTCTGTCAGTATAAACATGCAGGGGGAAAGCAAGCTGAGTTTTACCATCTGGCTAGAGTAACCCTATCTTGAAGAAGGGAACTGAACAATACTTCATGGAGAATTAGTGAGTTGTCCCACGGCCATTCCAACCCCCTCAACCAAACAGTTATTAATCCGGCCATGTTGGATCCATTGCTCAGTCCAGTGGACCATTGTAGTTACCTTTTATAAGGAGCTCATTAGTGAGGTTGTAATTCAGAAGGTCCCGATTTCATAGTGCTTTAAAAGATAGCGCTGTCAATTATGGATTAGAGGGATTTAT